GTATATTTGTCTTCTATGAAAGCTTTGAAAGAAACATGCAACATTAAAAACAGAAGCTGGTCCAAATTATACTGTACCTTGATTCCCTAATAGCCCACAAGCAAATTTGGAGGCTATAGTGTAGCCTTTATCAGACAGTAAATGCAGATAGATGCTAGATTAAATAGGAAAAACATGTAGGCATATAGAGTGGAAAACTTACTCTAAGAACTACTTAAGGTGTTTCTTTGAGCAGTTATTTAGAAAAGTGCACATCTTATTTGCACCAGAACAGCAGTTCCACACATGACTGTTGCTAAATCATCTCCTGAGGCATAACAGACATTTGAGTATTGATTATTTAATTTTCCTCTATCTGCCTCCAGCTCTACCAAACTACACTTCAGAAGAAGCAATGCAATCATGTTGTTCCTGTGATTACATAACTGAGACACAGTAAATTGTTCTGTGCCACTACATGAATTACACTGATACTTTTACAGCTATAGGGAGGGTTTGGACTGATACTGTAGAACTACTTTTCATTGGAATTTAACACTTTAATGTTCACATAGATGACAAGTAGTTTCATTCACTGTGAAAGATATTATCTGATATGGAACATAATTGCAATACGTTGTCTGGCCTGTTTATGTTTTGTTTTATAGACCCATTTGTCCTTGGCTCTAGGACTCAGTGCAGTGCTGTTGCTGCAATATTGTTTAGCACTACCACTTTTCAAAATTGGCAAGTCCATTTGCGGAGAGCTGCAGAATCTCAGCAGAACTCTTAAGTCAAGAATTTAGAGCTCTCTGCATAAGCAAACAATGGCTAAAACTTGTTAGTCCCATTTTCTAGCTTTCTATATTTTCTTCTTTTTGTTTCTTGTTTGTAAGTTTTATTAAAATCTCTCTTTAAAACTAATATATGATTTATATAAAGTACTTAAGTTGACTTAAATTTAGTTTGCCTTGTATGTGGCAAAGAGGTTATGGTTGACACTAGAAAGATTAGCTCATGCAGAAAACATAGATTTTTGATGCACACTCATTAAAGGTCCATTGTGTAACATTTAGGAGGATCTATCCGCAGAAATGGAATGCAATATGCATAATTGTTTTCATTAGTGTATAATCCACTTATGGTTTTTTACTTTAGAATGAGCTTTATATCTACAGACTCCACAGGTCACCTTCCATGGAGTCTGCCACGTTGAACCACCATGTTTCTACAGTAGCCCAGAGGGACAAACCAAACACTGGCTGTTTTGCATTGCATTTTTAGCGAATTTCACGACCACCGTACTCTATCCTACACGCTTGGAAGCAAGGGAGTTCAGATGTGATCTGAAACTACACGGTTAGATGACACTAAATCCTACACACATTTAAACACAACCATTAACACATAGCTTAGCTAGCTTTGGGATGGTAAATAAAGTTGTTTCAACTACTTATAAAAGGCCCTTTCTAACAACTACATGGCACATTCATAAATACAAATCCACCCATTATATTGATTGTAAGAGTATTGCATTAGTTTAGCATTGCACTCCTATATGAAAGGTTAAAATTAAAAGGATCAATATTGGTGCGGTAGAACAAGAGATATGTGCTTTTTAATTTGAATTCTTATTCTGTCAAAATCAGAGCCACAGGTGTTTTATGCTATTAGCGGCTAATGTAGTCTCTAGCCACTAGCCTCAAGCAAAGATGAGGAGTGGGCTACAGAAGTCTGGTAAACTCACTTATTTAACTCCACACCCCAAGATTTTCATTTTTAAACTTGTAGTCTTCAGCCCCAACTGAAAATCACTTGAGGCAGTTATCAAACTTCACGCAGTTCCCTATAGAGCCACAAAATACTTTAGACCATTTTTTTTCACATATGCAGTACTACTCCCCAAGACTTGTAAACAGACTTTGATGTGTTCCCCTTTAGTGCTGCAAAACATTTATGAAGATGATTGGCCATTGCCTGAACACGCTGTATGCATGCATGCATTATCATTGCTAGTACAAACAGTTAAATGCACCTTGGCGGCAGGACTGACCTGCCTGGATGAGGCTACAAGGCTGCACAGTTGCTATGGACCCACCGTTCTTACCAGTACTATTGTTGCAAGAATTTCATTTTCACTTGGTATTATTTCTTCTTAGAGGCGTTTTAATTAAAGCATCTAAGTATGTCCGGCTCAAAAGGCTCTGGCTCTTTCTTGGCTTACTGCTCCAATAAAGTCTTATAAAGTGTTTTATACGTTCCTTGCTCAGAAGCTTTTATCCAGAGTTCTCTAAATCTCTTGTTCCCCCTGCATTGATAATTTATGAGCCTATCCACAAGGTTTTGTTTCATGTTGCTGTAGTTTGCTTTTTTCTTCATGTGCCCCATGAGTGTGTTCATGGGTTTGTGCATGTGCACATGAACATTTTGATTGTGACTCACGCTTCATTGCAGTCTTTCGTCATGTCATTGTTTTACTCAGAAACCTTTTATGAAGTTCAGATTGTTTGGGGATTTGGAGACCATCAGCACAATTGGCAAAGGCATAATGAATGTTTCTCTATTTTCCCCACTCTCGTGGCTAGTTTGCAGTTGTGGGAAGGTTTAGATGCAATGAAGCTGTATGTCTTAACTGAAAATGTACTTTATTTCATTCATAAAGTGTACAAAGGGAAGTTTAGGCTTCGAAATTGAACAAACCTCAGGACAACTGAAAAGATCTACAGACAAATAAACAGTCAGTAAACTCTGATTTATTTTTGCATTTCAAAAGGATTCCATTCAAAAACATATTATATACTGAACATTTAGTCTTGAGGAGAAGCAGGCAAGGGGACTATTGAAGGGGAAATGTAACATCAACTGGAACTCATAGTGCATTAATCATAACAGTGCATGGAGAACAGAGTCTCATATGTAAAATAAAATGAAGTAATCTGTGGCTGTGGTTAGCCATACATTTTAAGCAGGCATGTTGACAAAAAAATAACATTAACTTTAAAAGTGAAATAAATAATTCCTTATGGATGATACTAGCTGAAGGTCACAAAGATCGGGGTCAAAACTGAGTACAAAATCCTGCTTATAAGCTTTGACAATGTGCAGGAGAGTGGAACTCTACTCTAATTCAGAGTAATCTCATTCTATGGGAAGGGAGGGAATAATAAGAGTCCTCTGCAAAGGCTTCTGCTGGTCACTTGTAACACAGGCTTCTGGCTATTAAACAGAACACAGGTATTGTTGAGAGGTCTACACTTGCTGGATTTTCCTGGGCAGCCATTTGAACAGGGTCTTGCACAGCTTTTTGCTTTTCACCTTTGACTTTGTTAAGTTCTTAATGATGACATTTCTGAGTAGGCTAAAGTTGAGGGGCTGGGATAAGTGCATGGTGAAAGCATTATTTCCTCTCGCTGAATGATTCAGAACCTCCAAGAAGCGTCTTTCCTGCTGCCTGAAGTCATACTCCACACTGGACAGACAGACATGCAGCCCAAAATTACTAAAACCCAAAAAACACAGATGTGACACAACACAGAATCTGTAGAATTCAGCTCTTGCCGAAGAATCCAAATGAATGCTTAGGTGTATCAGATCTGCATTACTGCATTTTTTCTATTATGCATCAAGCTTTTTTAGCTACAGTTCCCTTTGCTTTGTGTGATGCTCCTCGTGTGGGAAGCTACGTGCTCGTCAGATTTCAGAGTGGTTGATTTGTTTCGGCAGGAAGACATTACCCGGCAGGGTATTTTCTGAAGGTGCACACGTCTTGTTCGAATATCCTTATCTTCCACTTGGCCTTTAAGGACCAGATGCCAACACACACCAGTCAGCAGATCAACTTACATAACATGTTTTTGTCATGCAAAAGGGGTTTTGAAAATAAGTGGATCAAGAGGAATGTTTTGAATATTTCAAGATAAAGACTGTTTTAGGTTTTGCTTTGTAGAGCATGAGGCATTTCTTTTCCAAAAGATGATGAGAAGACTTCTCAGATTTCTCAGCCTCTCTTAGCCTCTTTTCCACATACATTTCTGGGACAATTGTTTTTCATTTCCATTTTTCTATTGCTTCTAACTGACGCAACATTTCAGCTAATGGGTGCAAACCAAGACCAAAGTTGGAATATTAGAGCTAACCACTATTGCATGATAAGTCTTCATGCACTACATCTTTGGCAAGGCATAATGTATTAAGAACTTTTCTCAGATTACATTCAAACAATATCTGTCATTATCTTTCTTTAATCACATGAGAATTACAGTTTCACGTTTGCGAGAGAATGTGCCATGCATGCACATATCCAACAACCCTCATTATTATTCCTGTCACAAAGGTGGTTTTAAACTGATTCTTAAAATTGCTGCAGGAGGTGAAAAAATGCTAAATGTCTCATTTTGAGATACAGTAGGGCTAATGTAGAGAAACTCCCCCGCTTCTTATAACTC